GAAGGGGGACCGGGGGAGTCCAAGTCACGGCACTCACATACGAGGAAAATTAGTTTGTGTATAAGTGGGCTGCTAAGATATTTAGAATCGGTGATATTTCAAGTCTAGATAATTACGTTGTGTAGAAATGCCCTTCACTTATGTCAATTTAAGTTCATCAGTAGTTGAGTTAGTTCAAACACTGAACTTACAAACTGACCGGGAAAATGGACAAATAGCACAAGACGCTATACTTGCTTGATTTCTCCTTAGGTTCGTATTTCCCACAGATGATCTTCGCATAAAAAAAAGAAAAAGAAAAGAAAAGAAAAAAAACTATTATACTGACTTTTTTGCTGTACAAAGAGCATTACGGATTCCGGGCAGGAAGGAGGTTAGACCATTTTTTTTTCTTTATTTCTTTTTTTTTACGGTATCCTCCAAGCTCCCTGAATATCTGCACTTTCTACTCAGGCGGGTCGCAATGATCACACTGCAATACATGTGACAATATCCTCCTGGGAAAAAAACTGTCTCTCTAGCTCAATATACAGAAGGGATAAATATGTCTCATGTACAAAATATAAAGATTATAATACAAAATTTCCAATAATGATGATAATCTTATGTTCACCATCGATGTCCTTTTGTTCAAAAGGTTCATTACACCATAAGGAAAAGGAGGGGTGGGGTGGGGGGGGGGGGGGGGGGGGGTAAAAATCATCCCGCTACAGCACAGACACAAAGACGTAGGCTTGGATGTAGATCGAGTATGCCCAGGTGATATACTTAAACAATATACTGACATCCTGTATGCGTACGTGTATGTCTGGTTATATCTCTATCTACATTTGGGTGTTTATTTCCACATTCTATATTCTCGTGTGTATATCTATACCTTTATCTGTCTGTATATCTATGTATATGTATAAGTGTGCGTATGTATGTAAGTGTGCAGTATACACATATGGCCTCAACAGTATGGATAATCCTGCAATGAATAAATAGTTATACTCTATAGCATTTTCTTTCCTTTCTCCCTTATCTTTCAGGAAATACTCCTCATTGTTTTTCAACACCAGGATGGGTTTCACAATGAAATAGTCATATTGAATTATTTTATTAATCATTTACAGTCCCTATTGTAGCGTGTAGCGATCGCTCCAAAAATCAAAAATACAACTGTAGATTTCGGGCCGGATTGAATTGTGCGAGGCCCGACCCAAGGAATACAGAGATGCGTATATACAAGAATAAATACATTAATCTCTCTATCTTTATGGTGTACATGTCTAGACAGATAGATGTGCATTTATTTCGGTGTATATTCGTGTCCCTATAATGAATGTTTATTGGGTCTGGCCTCGCATAATGTTAAAAACTGACCGATAGAAATGATGATCAAGATGATGATTTAGATAGTAATGATGATATGGGACTAATGATAAATAACGAGGATGATTCTACTAACAAAGATGATTGTGATATCAATAGTTATAACAATGAAGATAAAAAACAATGACAATAGCAGTTATGGTGATGGTAATGATGAAAAAGTGCTAATAAGAATGGTTATCATGATAATCGTAATATGATGATGATAATACTAATTGATTATGTCAATCGACTTAAGATTTACAGTACGGAAAATATCACCTTTAAAAAATTGAACAAAATTTGTCTTTTTTTTTTGGAGGGGGGGGGGAGAGGCGATAGAATTATATTAATAAGCATACCGATATATAGGCATGGTATCGGTGTTTTATATGGAGACGACAGTGAGTGAGAAAAAAAATGGTTATCTCATTCTCTCTCCTCTCTCGTTTACTCCCTTCTCCTCTCTCTTCTCACTCTCTCCCAAGTCTCTCACTCTATGTCTCAATTTCCCTCTCCCCTCTCTCTTGTTTTTTCATATAACATTCACAATACCAGTTCCAACATATATGGTATAATAAAGTTTATTTTGCTTACCTAATACACTCAATTATGCAACATCATAGCTCGTAACCATGAACATGAGCCATGGATTTCCCGTATTTTTTGGCGTCATTTGGAAGACTCCCAGGAACGCCCCCTCCCCTCCCTCCCCCTCCCCTTATCTTTTAATTCGTGGTGAGGCGCTTTCGACACTTCCTTCTTTCTTTCTTCCTCTCTCTCTGTCTGTCTTTTCTTAATTCTCTCTCTCTCTCTCCCTTCTTAAGTCTCCCTTTCTCCATTATCCACCCTTCTCTTCCTCTCTTCATCTCCCATGACATTCTATATCACTATCTCTCTCTCTCTCTCCCTAAGTCTGCTTCTCTCTCTCTCTGTCTCTCTCCTAAGTCTCTCTCTTTCTCTCCTCTCTCTCTGTCTTCCCTAAGTCTCCTTTCTCTCATTTCTCTCTTCTTCATTATTCCCCTTCTCTTCCTGTCTCCAGCTCCCCATGACATTCAAACACATAATCAGCCGCTTTCGCCATCAAAATGACGTCAAAAGAGATGGGAAAAAGACAGATGCTGATAAACGGGGTCTAGAGATAATACGTACGGGGGGGGTGGGGGGGTGGAGGTAGCGGGTAGGAGAAAACATACCCGAGTTCTCTCATAATCAACACGACTGTGAACAAGTGAACAGGTACGTCTTTCCTATTAATGTTATTCTCATCCCATGTCTATTATGATAATCATTGTTATTATCATTGTAATCATTACTATGATTATCATCATTACTATTACTGCTATCATAATCATTATTGTTATTAACCTTATCATCACCATCATAATGGTAATAAAAATAATAGCAGTTATAATTATTAATATCATTACTACTATTATTTTCATTATCATTACTGTCATTGTTATCATAATTATCTTTATCATCATTATCATTAGCCAAACAAAAGATCAGCCCATTCTAGTTAGTTTAAATAAGCTGCAATAAGACACAGAGAGTTGTGGAATTGTCAAACAAATGAGGAAATTGTACAAGAATATACACAACTTTGGTACAGAAATCTTCCATGAAATAAAAAAAAATCATACTTCCCTGTTCTTGCACTACTTCTTCAACAGATCATGCAAAGGAGACCGATTTCATTATTTCTTCCTCTTCCAACACGCACACTCTGAAGGCTAAGGGACTGTCATTGATTTAATATTGCATTGCTAATGTTCTGATTGGAGAACTAAAGTAAAAATAATAGTAATAATAACAATAATAATGATTAAAAGAAATGATAGTCATATTGGTAAGAAATAACTTCAATATATTATGATTCAAGGGCATACATATGAAATGAGATTGGTATAGATTGTTTACTTAAAAGGAGTTATGGAGAATCAATCCTGTAATTTCTAATAGTTTCTGCTCATCAACGTTTTCTGTCATCAATGTCCATTTTCATTGACAGTCCACAACCCAAGGTACTTTGATAGAGGTAGCCCCACTCTGTCTGTGATAAAATCCTAGCTGGCAACTTCCTAGCTAAGCCCCCACCTCATCACCTTTATTCATTGCATTTTTTTTTCTTGTTTTCGTTTTCAAATATTTTTTAGCACTGTTATTACTGAACCATTTTCAAAGAAAAAGTTCTGAGAAATTACTTGCCATAATATAACACAGAGTGAGTGGGTCAAAATGGAGGCAGAACTAATGGCATCATCACATTTAACCGAGGAAAGTGCATTGTGCGATTTCAAGTGTAGCTACATAAATAATAATTTGTATAATCTACCTGATGTTATAAATATCAAAAGAAAAATCAAAATTCCCCTTCTTTTACTTAAGATAACGAAGAATTCGTTACCATTAACAGACGTGAGAATACTCCTGTTCAATGGTCCATTTCATTTATGGGCTCAACATGTTAAATGGAAGTGGGCCTACTTGGTTATATGCCGGTACCAATGATGTTATACCCAAAGTCTAGAGAACTACTCTAGACTTTGGCCGATCCTTATTGGCCAAAACTACACGGAACAACAAAGTGACAGAGAACTTAGTTTAGTTGTATAGACCTATATATATATTTGCTGATCGTTCTGCATAATCATTGCTGATCGGTTTACATAATTATACATTGTACATCTTGGTTAATTCTTATTGTCAGATCGGAGGTATGGCTAACGCAAGGGTCATGAGGGCCTTCTTGGTCCTCCTGCTGACAGCGCTGACGAAAGCGGAGCTGACGCAGCTGGTCATTGGCGAGGAAATCATCGTTTCCTATAATGGGCATGAGGTACAGTTCGTGATCCATGAATTTTCAGGAGGGGAAAGGCCCTGTGAGAGGTCGTCTGGGATTTTCAATGAAATACTTTTTACCAGGTTGGTGGTTGGGGTTAGTGATTATACACTGACAGATATACGTACATAAAACGCACAGTGGAACATACACACCTTGATTACCACACACAACAACACGGAACAACACAACACACACATCAACGAATAACACCCCCTCTTTACTCCACTCCTCTCCCTCTCCTCCTTCCATTTACCCCTCCTAACCTCCCATTCCCTTTGCCCCATCTCTCACCTCCCCTTCCCTTCCCGCCCTGTCCCCCTACCACAGATCTTCCACCACACGCGGGAGAACCCAGTCATCACCTTTGGCGTGGGGACAGCCAACTACACAGAGGACCACGGTATGTTCGACATCCAGGAGGAAATTCTCGAGGTCGTCCCCATGGATCGAATCGTCATGGCTTCGAACAGGACGGGAAGTGTTCGAATCACGCTGGGTTCCTATGCTGATCCCGAGGTCGAGGTGGGTGGGCCGGGTTGGTTGGTTGGTGTTTTGTGTGTGTGTGTGTGTGTGTGTGTGTGTGTGTGTGTGTGTGTGTGTGTGTGTGTGTGTGTGTGTGTGTGTGTGTGTGTGTGTGTGTGTGTGTGTGTGTGTGTGTGTGTGTGTGTGTGTGTGTGTACATTTGTTCGTGTTGGGTCTCTATGGTCGCGTTGTCTTTTGCTCGAATGATGCGAACGTGAGCTTCTCTTCTCTATGTTCAGAAGCGTATGCATGTGTGTGGAAGGTATAAGTGTATATATGCTTACATGACTAGGCATGCTTGTACATAAAAATCCGTAAATAGCATGTGGCTGTATGTACGTAATCACACTCAAAACACCTTCATGTATTTACGTATATAAATGCATTTGCAGTTCTATTTAGCTTACATGTGTATAAGTATGCACTTCTGTAAATGTGCGTGTAGGCCTACATATGAGCGTACATGTACAAGGTCTATACAAGTACTGATATAGACCTTGTATATGTCTGCACTTCTGTGGATGTGCGTCTAGGCCTACACATGAGCGTATATGTATTGTATATCTATACAGTTCATACACAGACCATGAATTTACTGTGTTTACAAGATCAATTCTCAATCTTCAACAGATACGTTTGACCGCCGACACGTATGTCTTCGGCTACGTCGGGATATTTAACAATCTCATGACAGACAGTCCTTACAACCGTATGTGGCTCAGGCTCTCTGCTGACGAGGACGAGAAGGTCTATGGAGGAGGCGAGCAGTACACGTATCTTAACCTCCGCGGTCGCCACTATCCCATCTGGACGAGTGAGCAAGGTCGGTCGAGTCGGTTGCGGTTTCTTTTTTTTCATTATTTCGGGTTTTTTTAGAATCTCGTTTTTTTTCTTTTTTTCTGTCTTTCTATTTCTTGATGGTTTGTCTCTTAGAATCTCGTTTTCTTTTTCTTCCTTTTGTTAGTGTTTTTTTTTTTCTTGTCTTTTTATTTTATTTTGTTTTTGTTTTTTTAGAATCTCGTTTTTTTTTTTTTTTAGCTTTTTTTCTGTCTTTCTGTTTCTTTATGATTTTGTCTCTGTTGCCTTTCGTTCTTTTTTTTTTGGTCTATTTCTTACTTTTCGTTTTTTTTTCTATTTCTTGCTTTTCGTTTATTTTTGTTCATTTTTTCATTATTTTCTTTCGTCTCTCTCTCATATTCATTCTTTCTCTTGTATCTAATGTTCTGTTCTTTCTCTTTTTCACATTTTATCTTGGAATTATCTTCTTGTTTGCTCCCTCTTCATATTTTGTGTGTGCCAATCTCTGTCCCATTCTCTCTCTCTCTCACTCTCTCTCTATCTATCTATCTCTCTGTCTTCTCTCTCTCTCTCCCTCTTCTCTCCTTCTTTTCTCTCCTTCTTTCTCTCTCTCTCTCTCTCTCTCTCTCTCTCTCTCTCTCTCTCTCTCTCTCTCTCTCTCTCTCTCTCTCTCTCTCTCTCTTCTCTCTCTCTCTCTCTCTCTCTCGTGTGTGTGTGTGTGTATGTGTATGTATGTGTTTATCCATTGATCTATCTCTCTCTATCATAAATGTATACAGACTGATACCCAGATATCTAGATACATAAATTAATCGACAGCTATGAGGATACAGACATTCTGATACAGAGTTACAACAACAAGTCGAGAAATAGTCATAGCAACGCCCGCACTGACTGCTGCTCCTCACCTTCCTCCTCACTCCCCTCTCCCACTTTCCCCTTCTCCCCCAGGTATCGGTCGCGATGGAGGAATTATCGCCAACATCACCGACATCGAGGGTGATGCTGGAGGAGAGTACTACACCACTTACTGGCCCGAACCCTCTTTTGTCTCCTCGAAGCGCTATTCCGTTATTTTCGATCGCTACGAGTACGTCAGTATTTGAAGCTGTTTTGGATGATTTATCGTTGTTTTTGTGTTGTTTTCGTTTTTCCAAGTTGATTTCTTGATCTGTGTGTGTGATTGTTGAAGTAGGTTGATCGGTCTTCGAGTTATTTTTCGTAAGAGAGGATATAAATGATTTAGTAAAAGGTGCACAAAAAAAAAGTATAAGGTCTAGTGCTGTTACCCCTTAATACGTATCAAAGAAAACGGGAATATTTTGAGCAGGAACTTGCCAGTATTTAGATGTTAAATAAAGCAACGGAACTTTCTTCACACTTTAAAGAACATTATTATTGTTACTATTATTATTATTGTTATTATTATTATTATTATTATTATTATTATTATTATTATTATTATCATAGCTGTTATTTATTATCATTATATTATATATATATATATATATATATATATATATATATATATAATATATTATATGTGTTGTATGTGTGTGTGTATGTATGTATATGTGTTAGAATAATACAGCTCATTTTACAAGCAGCAAACCATATCTCACTCTCTCTCCCCGCTCTCCCATCTCAGTTACATGGTCATGAACTTCAGTCAGCCAAATTACCACGAGTTCTACATTCATAGCGAGTCGTTCTTGCTCGAAATGTACTTCAATGATACGATGATGAACCTTATACCGAGCAAGGTTCATTATGCTCCCACTCTCCCTGACTGGATCATCACGGGACCATCTTGAGTCTGCAGAGGGGAACGCAGGAGGTAAGCTGAAGGCTTTTGTAGGTAGTATATATATACATATACATATACATACACACACACATATATATATGTGTGTGTGTGTGTGTATGTATATACATACATATATATAAATGATATATATTACATATATACATGTGTAAATATGCATATATACATATGTATAAATACATATGCATATATACATACATATATATACGTATGTATATATGCATATATGTATATATATGTGTATACATACATACATCTCTCTCTCTATCTCTCTGTCTGTCTGTCTATATATATATATATATATATATATATATATATATATATGTATGTATGTATGTATATATACATATATATACATACACATGTATATATATGTCTACATACATAGGTATATACATACGTGTGTGAGCTTGTATTTATTTATCTCCAAACGATTCGCACTTAAAACAAGTCCCTTAAAAAAATGCAACCGCCCACCCACAGGTCCTCGACTACTACGAGATGGCCAAGGGCGCGGGCGTGAACGTGAGCGCCCTCTGGATCCAGGACTGGTCGGGCACACCCCTGTTCGCACCGGACTGGCAGTGGCTACCCCGGGTTATGGTCGTTGTTACTTAAGTCATTGTTGCTGTTGTTGGCAGTGTCATTTTATGTATGTTTGCGCATTTTCGTGTGTATTTGGGTACTGTACATATACATGCGCGCACAGGAAAAAAAAAAACAACACACACACACACACACACACACACACACACACACACACACACACAACACACACCACACACACAACACACACACACACACACACACACACACACACACACACACACACTACAACACACACACACACACTACACACACACACACATCAAACACTTCACACACACACACACAAACACACAACACGCAACAAACACATACACGCAACATAAACAGGAAATCAACAACACAACACTCTACACACACACAAACACACACACGCGCAAAACATCAACACACGGCATACAAACAACAATACAACAATCTAAACACACACAACACACCACACACCAGCCATGACACGTTACGCGCGCGCGCGTACAATCGTACTAAGTCCACTTAATACAATTAATATTAATAACTAATAATAGTAATTTATAATACATGATAAAAAAAAAAGATATATCCCAATATCAACATTATCAAACCCAAATATACACTATATACTATTAGATAATAAACCTGAACATAGTATTCACACCCCAACCTCATCTTACTCTCCCACAATACCCACGCCCACGATCAATACAAGGACTATCATTTAGTAGTAACGAAATGATACACTACACACCTTCGGCCAAGTATATGAGCGTAGTGACTGATTGATAAATAGAGGTCCTACATCAAACCCGACCACCTAGATCGCCCTAAGGTACGGCACACTGTACGAGATATAGAGTGACTCTGAACAAAGGACCACACGGATACATTCCTTACGTATATTATATTGTGTAGTGAGGAACAGCGTAGATAAATATATAAAAGGTACCTAAATACCTACCACGCAAGGATTTCGGAGAGTAATTTATAGGCAGGATATATAAAACCTATCGACTTGGTCAAATACGTAACTATATGTATGGAAATAGTCACGATGAGAGACATGGTTTATGCCCCGAGTTAAAAGTGGTTACTATTGTGGCCTTATATATAGCGTGAGTTGAGAAAATTATTTGATTAGTAAAATAGCATCGTTTGTTAGTTGTTGTGGTTATATTATTGATATAGTAATTATTATATGATATATTTTATGATTTTTGTTTTTTACATCATTTTAATATTAATTACATAATTATTTAGTTGGCTTGTTTATATTATATTATTATATGGCATTAATTTAACATTATTTAAATCAAATCTCCCTTTCCCTCCCACTCTCCTCTCTACTATTCCCAAATTACCCCACACACATATCCCCTCCTTCTATCTCCAAAACCTACACCTAACCACATCACTCCCTCTTCCCTCAACCTCACCCCCCATCCAACCTTCTATCTCTACCTTTCATACTATACCCACCTACACCCTTCACTTCCCTTATCCCACTCCCACTCCCCCCCACTTATATCCCACCTTCGCCCCCACTCTCCCTTCCTTACCTAAAACATATCACACACTCCCACCTCCCTCATCCCCTCCTCTTACCCCTTACACCGCTCCAAACCAAATTCTAATAATCCCCCTCTATTATATTAAGTACAACCGCCTCCCTACCTTCCCTCCCCCGTACACCTCATTTCCATAAAGGTTAAGAATTCATAATAGTATAGTAACAATGAATCCACTTGGGACTCGTGGTGGTATGGACTGGACTTTCCGGCGAATACGGACTTCGGCGAATACACCCGCACGGATATGTTCTCACGGGGTATTCACACGGTTAGAACTTCGCACCGCTCAAGTTCACAACCAGTTCCCTCGGCTTATGGGCGAGAGAGTATGCGTGAAGTAAGTAGTTGGGGTTACTGGATGTGTTGTTATTTCTAGCTCAGAGTACTTCGATTGCTCATTTTTCCATGTATTGGTTTGTTCATCACAACATTCATCATCATTGCTTATTATATCATCTATACACTTACGAGAGGTATTTAATTAATTTATTATGTTGTATATATAATTATTATTATTATATTATATTATTATTATTATTTAATTATTATATATATATAATATCCTCATCATAAAATTTCATTATCATTTTCATTATTATTTTGTATATAATATATTTAAATTAATGAGTTAGATCATTTATTATTATTAATATTAGTTGTTGTTTAGGTTTAACTACTTTTCATTAATCGTATATCATCATTAGTTTTGTAATTAGTAATAATAGTAAGTAGTAGTAGTGTTAGCCAGTTGTGAATACATCTAATTATTAGAGCTTATTAAGGTAGTTAAGATATACTAGCATTATGTCAAGGATAACACACATTAATCATTTATATTTTATCAATTATCATATAAATTATTCCAAACAATATATTATTATTATTATATTATTAATTATTACTATATTATTAAATATATCATATTTATTATTATATTATTATAATTATTATATATTATTATATATTATTATTATTATTATTATTATTATTATTATTATATATTAATTCATTAAATTATTATTTTATTAAGTTATTATTATATATTAATTATTATTATTATTATTGTTGTTGTTGTTGTTGTTGTTTGTTGTATTACATGAGTATATTCTATATAAGTTTGTTATCGTTATTATGATATCATAATTAACTGGAGTATTCATTATCATTATTATTATTAGTATTACCCATTGTTGTTATGTATATTATTATCGTTGTTTTTATCAATATGTTTGTCATGATGACACATATGGAAAAATGTCATTTGATTCTGAAAGATGAATAACTATATGACCTTTGACCTGTTAAAAGAAAATCCAGCTTGACCTATGACCCAGTAGATGACCTATGATCTAACAGATGAGAAGAATAACCATTTGACTTTTGACCTAATATGAAACAACCATCATGATCTGTGACCCACACAGCGGAATAAACCATCTGACCTTTGACCTAATAAGACCTAGCAAATCTTGATGTATGACCCCAACAGATGAACAAACCATCTGATCTTTGACCTAATAAGAACTAGCAAAACTTGACCTATGACCCCAACAGATGAACAAACTATATGACCTTTGACCTGATAAAAAAACAGCCATCTTGACCTATGACCCAGACAGCAGAACAAACCATCTGACCTTTGACCTAATAAGAACCAGCCATCTTGACCTATGACCCTAACAGAGAGAAAAAAATAATCATAACCTTTGACCCCCAACAGAAAAAAAACAACCCGAACCATTGACCTGATAAAATAACTGACCTCTCGAATCCGCAGAGAAGCGCTGCGTCTCTCGGGGAACTCAGGTCAGATCGTGCCCTTCATGAGGTCAGGAGGTCGAGGGTCAGCCAGAAACGCGTACTTGGCCTGGGCAGGAGACCAGAACGTGGACTGGTCACTCGGGGACGGGGTCGGGTCGACGGTGGTGGCCGGTGAGGGGCGTTCTTCCCGTGTGTTCTGCGGTGGTGATCTGATTGTTCTTCGATTGTTCGATTGTTTCTTCTGATTGTTCTTCGATTGTTTCTTTTTTGATTGTTCTTCGATTGTTTCTTCTGATTGTTCTTCGATTGTTTTTTTCTGATTGTTCGATTGTTTCTTCTGATTGTTCTTCGATTGTTTCTTTTTTGATTGTTCTTCGATTGTTTCTTCTGATTGTTCTTCGATTGTTTCTGATTGTTTTGTCTTCTGATTGTTCTTCGATTGTTTCTTTTTTATGTTCTTCGATTGTTTCTTCTGATTGTTCTTCGATTGTTTCTTCTGATTGTTCTTCGATTGTTTCTTCTGATTGTTCTTGCGATTGTTTCTTTTTTTATTGTTCTGCGATTGTTTCTTCTGATTGTTCTTCGATTGTTTCTTCTGATTGTTCTTCGATTGTTTCTTTTTTTATTGTTCTGCGATTGTTTCTTCTGATTGTTCTTCGATTGTTTCTTCTGATTGTTCTTCGATTGTTTTCTTCTGATTGTTCTTCGATTGTTTCTTCTGATTGTTCTTCGATTGTTTCTTCTGATTGTTCTTCGATTGTTTCTTCTGATTGTTCTTCTTGTTTCTTCTGATTGTTCTTCGATTGTTTCTTCTGATTGTTCTGCGATTGTTTTCTTTGATTGTCTTCGATTGTTTCTTCTGATTGTTCTTCGATTGTTTCTTCTGATTGTTCTTCGATTGTTTCTTCTGATTGTTCTTCGATTGTTTCTTCTGATTGTTCTTTTTTCTTCTGATTGTTCTTCGATTGTTTCTTCTGATTGTTCTCGATTGTTCTTTGATTGTTCTTCGATTGTTTCTTCTGATTGTTTCTTCGATTGGATTTCTTTGATTGTTCTTCGATTGTTTCTTTTTTTTGATTGTTCTTCGATTGTTTCTTTTTGATTGTCTTCGATTGTTTCTTTTTTTGATTGTTCTTCGATTGTTTCTTTTTTTTATTGTTTCTTCGATTTTTTTCTTCTGATTGTTCTTCGATTGTTTCTTCTGATTGTTCTTCGATTGTTTCTTCTGATTGTTCTTCGATTGTTTCTTCTGATTGTTCTTCGATTATTTCTTCTGATTGTTCTTCGATGTTTTCGAATTGTTTTTCTTCGATCGTTTTCTTCTGATTGTTCTTCGATTGTTTCTTCTGATTGTTTCTCGATCGTTTCTTCTGATTGTTCTTCGATTGTTTCTTCTGATTGTTCTTCGATTGTTTCTTCTGATTGTTCTTCGATTGTTTCTTTTTTGATTGTTCTTCGATTGTTTCTTTTTTGATTGTTCTTCGATTGTTTCTTCTTCTGATTGTTCTTCGATTGTTTCTTCTGATTGTTCTTCGATTGTTTCTTTTTTGATTGTTCTTCGATTGTTTCTTCTGATTGTTCTTCGATTGTTTCTTCTGATTGTTCTTCGATTGTTTCGATTGTCTTCTTGATTGTCCTTC